CTCTGGCTTCGTTGGACCGCAATGGAGTGGTGCCACGTAGTTCAAAATGCATATCAAAACTACTGATACCATAGTTGAAGTGGTCATCGCAAACTCTTGAGGCAATCGGCGGGATTTTTTTCCAAAACGCCGTTTATAACAGTATACTTCCTCTGTACCACATTACTTTTACGATTAGAGAAACCAACTTTTTTCACTTTACTGTGGTGAAATCGATACTATTAGACCTCCAGGCGAATGAATTGAAATCAGCACAGTGATAAAGTACAAACTTGAGCAATATAGCCCCCCTTTAATTTTATATTCTAACCAGAAATTGATACGTGACTTCAAATACAACATCATCCATTGTAGGAGATGCACGACTTGAGCAGAGATTTTTCATCGTGTTGTTCTGGTTGTCTTTTCTAGAATGCTAAGTACATTGTTGTTTTAGTCGATCACTTCCTAAATTGCTTCATAAACTCCCAAGTTCATCCACCACTCCTCCTCCATGGCCAGCCAAAGCTCCGTGACACCAGCTAAGAGACTTCCGTCCTTCCGCAAGATAGCAAATACAATTGATGCACTTGCTGCTCTAGAAGAACGCCGACTGGCCAAGCGCCAAAGATACTCAATTGAGCCCAATGATGCAACTGCTGAGGACCTTGATTCTGCATCGCCCGTCACAGACCAGTACATTGCCGTCAAAGGAGTTGAGGTTGTCCACACCCTAACCAACATTACAGTGTCCGAGCTCAATACACTGTGGATTAATATCAAGCCATACGTCTCAAAGAATTGGAATGTCGGCGGTGGACGCAAATGCCCAGTGACTGGAAAGGACATGCACTTCATGACACTCGTGACGCTGAAGCATGGAGGCACGTGGGATATGCTTGCTTCCAGCTTCGACGAGAAGGCAGCTACGTTCAGCAATCGGGTCACCCAGTTTATCCGAGTTCTCCATCCATACCTGGTCCGTAAGTACATCGACGAACAAGGCATCAAGTGGACAATGCATCAGCTTGCCGTGGCTGGTCTTCAATTCGAAACGCACAAGTCGGACCTATACGCAGTTGATGTCACCTTCCAGCAAACTACTGCACCCGCCGTGTCATTCAACGAGAAGAAGACGTACTTTTCCAAGAAACATGGCTTGTATGGCCACAAAGTTGAGGTGTCTGTGGGACCGAACGGCTTAGCGATCAATGTCACCGATTGCGCAGTGCACAGCACATCCGACTTCGAAATGTTGAAGGCCAACCTGGGTTTTCACTCCAAGCACCTGGAGAAGCAGCCGAACAACAATAACGCCAGCGACAACGGTGCACTGCGTGACAAGTTTCCCAATCAATGGGCCGTTCTTGCGGATAAGGGCTACCAAGGCATCCAAGAATACCTCCGTGGTTTTACTCCAGTCAAGCACCCACCGCACGGACAACTGACAGTGGAACCAGAGCGAGC